CAAGATTTCATGACGAAGACGCCAAAAGTGATTGCAACAAAAACAAAAAATGACAAATGGAACCTAATTAAACCAAAGAGCTTCTACACAGCAAAAGAAGCTATCAACAGAATAAACAGACAACCCACAGAATGGTAGAAAATATTTGCAAACTATGCAACCGGCAAAGGTCTAATATCCAGAATTTACAAGGAACATAAACAAATTTACAAGCAAAACCCAAACAACCCCATTAAAAAGTAGGCAAAGGACACGAACAGACACTTTTCAAAAGAAGATATACATGTGATCACAGCTTATGAAAGAAAACTCAACATCACTAATTGGTAGAGAACTGCAAATCAAAGCCACCATGAGATACCATCTCACACCAGTCAGTATGGCTACTATGAAAAAGCCAAAAAATAATAGATGTTGGCATGGATGTAGGGAAAAGAAAATGCTGGTGGGAATGGAAATTAGTTCAGCCACTGTGGAGAGCAGTTTGGTGATTTTTCAAAAAACTTAAAAAAGAACTACCATTTGACTTAGCAATCCCACTACCGGATATATCCCAGTTACCCTGATTTGATTATATTAATGTATCAGATTATCATAGGTACCATGGAAATGTGTAGTTAAGTACCAAAATAAATAAATAAATAAATAAAGGCCAGGCATGGTGGCTCACGCCTATAATCCCACCATTTTGGGAGGCTTAGGCAGGTGGATCACCTGAGGTCAGGAGTTTGAGACCAGCCTGATCAACATGGAGAAACTCCATCCTACTAAAAATACAAAATTAGACTGGCCTTCCAAATACTCTGTCAGGATCATATACACTCACATCTTTCATTGTCCCTTAAATCCTCATATTTCCTATCTCCTGACATAGAATAAATCCAAACATGTGTAGCAAGACAATGTTTTTGGTCACTAACTTCTGTTGTTTTCTGTTGCCTGGAATTCCTTTATCTCATTTAAGCATGTAGCAAACCCTGTGTCATCCTGCCACAGGGGGGCTTTGCAGAGGCACGTTGTTTTGGTTGGAGTAACCCCTACTGGCCAAACTGCATGTCTTTGGCATGGGAATATATCTACCCCTTAGAAAGGGTGCCTTTCTCTTCACCCAAAGGCACCATCTGTTCACCCAAAAGGATGCCCACAGTGCTGTGCCTGCCCAGAGACCCTTCTCTTCTTCCTGGGGGTTTGTGGGATTAGAAAAGCTAAGTACACCAAGGAAAATTGAATTTAATGGAAAAGGAAGCCTAATGACATTGAGGGAAGAGAGTTTCAGGTAAGAGGGATTTCTCCCAAAGCAGAAAGAGGATCTTTCAAGCAGCAAAAGGAGTCAAAGATTCTCTTGAGCAGAGGAAATGATTAGTGCCCCCAGAACATGGCAGGATCTGAGAAGGAATGGAAGGTGCAAGATCTCAGCATCAGAGGGGCTCATTTGAAGGGGCTACATGGGTTCCATAGTGGGTTTCTTCTCGGAAACCAGATAACTGATTGTGGAGTTTCCCAGCACCCTAGGGGAAGACTGAGAAATGGGGTCACCAAGAGGGGAGGTAAATGCCTAAAGTTCAGTTTCCCAATTAGGTCAAGTAAAGAAAATGCCCATTCCTTGTACAACTGAGTTTGAGAACTCAGAGGCATATTGGGTATATATGTGAAAGAAGAACACTCTCCAAATGGTTCTGACCAGTTGCTGGGTCATGCATGAAGAGAAGGAAACCTTGGTCATGTGCTACTGTGGACCAGTATCTATCATGAAAACTGTCACAAAAGTCAGTTCATTTGAGCCTCAATGACAATTAAATTATAATTCACCCTTTTGTACACATGGGGAAAGTGAGATCAGGGAGGTGAAATAATTTGCACAAGGATATTCAGTGAGTAAATCACAAAGGTAAACTGTGAACCTCAATCTTTTCAATACAAAAACCTATTCTTTTTTAACTATATCATTAGTTTTCAAACTGTGTTCCACAAAACCTAGAAGGTGAGGCTCCAAATGTTCATCCAATTAGATTTTGTCTTTTATAGTTTTAACTATTTTAAAATGAATAAAAAAGCAACGCTTGCAAATTCTACAACTTTGGCAGCCACCAATATGCTCATTTTTCAATATGCTCATTTTTATTATCAGGTTCATTAGGTTTCATGCAGCTCTCAGAATCAAGCTTCTCCTACCACCTCTAGATACATACTCGAACTCTTGTAAATGTGTCATCCAGAAGAATATAGTTATATTATATCTGAGGGAAGGCAATTAGTTCAGATGTGTGAATATTCAGTCATGTAAAATGGTACAAACCGGAAAAGAACTTAAGCAAACGTTTGCTGTGCTCAAATGCCAAACAATGTTCAAATACCAGTTTGGAACAAGCTGCCATCTTGGCAAAAGAGAGCAATCATAAGTACATGGGTGCCTCCTCACGTTTGGAAAGTATTCTATCATTGACATTTTAGTGTCTCTTGGATCAGTTTAATTGAATATTACGTGTACAAGGCAAGCTATTAAAAATTGGTTACCATGTTTCTCTAATCCCCATGTTTTCTATAAGCTCATATTAAAACTAGAGGCTCGATTGGGTGGGGGCACAACATCACTGGTGATAGTGTGCACTTCCTACTGATACCAGGAGGCACACAATCTCTGGTTGCCCCACTTTTAGCAGTGCTACCATTGATATTAGGGTTCAGGTGATATTGGTCTGATCTATCATTAATTTCCCAATCAACCATTTACCTAATGATTTTAGCAGCTATTGACAATAATTACCTAGATCCATCCTTTCATTAGGGATTTTTTTTAAATAGGTAGCTTCCTATTATTTATTCTGGATTTTTAAGCTGTGATTCTCCTATAAACAAGAACTTTCATCAGCTATTAGATTACCCTGAAAACAGTCAAATTCAGAATGTAAGACAGTTTACAGGACAAATACTCCAGTCTCTTCAACAAATAAATGTGCCTTTAAAAAAATAGGGGGATCCCTTGCGGAGTAAAACAGACATATCAACAAAGTTCATCTGTGATTCTTATTTGGAGCCTGAATCAAAGACCAACTGTTGGGTTTTTTTCAAAGGACATGTTTAAGACAATCAGAAAAATTGAAAATTAACTGGGTATTTGATGTTAATTATGGAATTATGGTTATATTTTGGTTTTGATAATAGTCCTTTCCATTAGCTAAGCACTGAAGTATTTACTAATGCAATTATCTATTTTTAATTTGCTATAAAATGTTCTAGCCACCTCCCAAAAAAAGGAGGGGTCTAGATTAAAACATCACCGCAGAAAGAAACATAACAGCAGAAGGTTGAGAGTTGTTGAAGCTGGGTTAATGGATACATGGGAGTTTATTATTCTATTCTTTAATTTGTGTCATTTTTTCATAATAAAATGTTTGAAGGAATAAATTCAATTGAGTAGATCCAGAAACAGGTGAAAAGGATAATAAAATGGCTACCATTTGCAATTATTCACCTGTGTATGAATCAAGATCTTCTATCACTCAATAGAAGACATAAGCTTAAACTTAAATTTGAAAAACAGTCTTCAGCTCACTTCAAAACACCACTTAAAGTGTTTGAAAGAACATCATAGTAGTTCTAGAATGGACAATAATAGTCTTAAAAACTAGTTTCAAAAAATGAGTAATGTATCCACACAGTACAGAGATCAGTTCGGTCATCATTGTATCTTACACAGCACATCTTATCCTGATAACATTAAAAGATGACTCATTTCATCACCAAACATAGAAACACAGTTGTCTCTGGAACTCAGAATTTCCTCCTGAGTAGATGGGAGTCCTTTCAATGACCAAAGATTTTTATTGAGACTTCCACTGTCTAATCTAGACGTGAGAAAACTACAGCAGAAGGTTGTAGATCTAGAAACAGGTGGAAAACATAACAAAATGGGCCAGCCCACCACACAGCCATACCCATTTGTTGTCTACAGTTGCTTTCCCAGACACAATGGCAGAATTAAGTAGTTGCAACAGAGACCAGACGGCCTCCAAAGCCTAAAATATGTATTATCTGACCATTTGCCCAAAAAACGTGCCAACCCCTGGTCTAAATCAAAAGATGAACTTAAAGATTTGGATTTCAGAAGGTTGAAATACATGAGGTGAGGACAACACAAGTCTACAATTTGAATATCAATATATCAGTAATATTTTCTGCTTTGGCAGAAATGGGGAGAAAGACAGATTTGGGGAGAAAATCAGTCATGCAATAACATTTTCATCATCAGTCAAAGTAACCGTGGAAGCAAAAAAAGAAAAAGAAAAACCCCGGCAGGATCAAAGCACAAAACTATTTGACAAATGTTATTTGAATTCTTGCACAGCTCTTTCATTGGTGAGTCTTTAGCTGTTGGTAGCTTTCTGAAAGTCTCCTGATTTTACCAATGTGATCTGCCTCAGTGCATGTCCATATGGCCCACTGCTTTATGGAAGAGATGGTTACTCTTCCAACAGATAATGCAACCAAGCACTTGGAAAAGAACAAGTTTCGCTTTATCTTTGGAAAGGAGGGAGGAGAGATTCAGAGTGGATTTGATAACTAAAATTTAGATGTGAGCACAAGAAAATGTTAGTGAAAGAGGAACAAAAAATCATGGCATGTGTTTTCTCCTCTGTCAAGGGAATGAGGAGGCAAGGGCAAGAACAGGGCTCAAAAAGTCTTTGCTAACAGGAGACCTGCAGTCCCCTCCCCACTGGAATTTAGGGACCCCAGACTTGCTTTGAGTAGGCATATGAGGGCCAGATCACAGATCACCTGAAACTAATTCCCTAGTTTCCTGAAAGGGTTACAAAACTTGTCTGGTAATGGTCTACATTCTGCAAATCAGGAGAAGGGAATATTCTAGATCACAGGATCTATTCAATAAAAATGTTTATGCTATTATTTCACTACAGCAGCATGAGTGTCCTTCGCCAGGATGGCACCCCAAAAGGCTAATCTTGGACTGAACAAAGAAGATGAATGGGTCCTCGCTATACCTTCAAGATATGTTCATTGGATGCCTTGTCATCAGGGGACACATACAAACGGATGAACACGGAATTGCTGTATTGACCACGAAATGTTGCAAGTGTCTGTAGAAGGCTGAACTTTCTCTCTGACCAAACCCCTTCAGGACCAATATTAGATTCAAGCACGGGCCAGCGGAAAGGTGAATGCCGTAGGATGTGTAGCAGTGGCTTGGCATCGGCTTTTTCAATGGCTTCTGAAAGGGAGCAGATATGAACAGAGAGTTAGAATTGAAAACTGGATCAGCACACTAGAATTCAAGTGCATCTTCTCAAGACAAAATTCCCATAAGGCTCCAACTTAAAATTTCAGCTGTTAGGGAGTAAGCAGGAGAGGTGGGGTGGGATGAGCATAAACACCGAGACAGAACTACCTACGATCCACGCTTCAATGGGCCTGTCTACATCTAGTGTTCTTGCCAGGAGAGCTGACCAGGGAAACTGCTGGATATTCACTACAATAAACATGGACCCTCTACATGGACCCCAGCCAAAGAATGATAATATTTGGTGGGACCAAGGTACAACCCTAATTAAAGGAATGCCTCAACAAAGTCAATCACTACCCAATGAAGATGAAGTAGTGCTTCAGATTCTTGTCCTTTATTGCTCTTTTCTAGCTCACCACATGATACCCCAAATCCTAGACCAGCTGACACACTTCCCATAGGCACTGGCTTCTTCCGGCAATGGCCTTGAGAAGGCAGTCCAGGTAAAATGGCCAGTATCTGTTCTGATTTCAATCAGAACGAAGATATTGAGACAGGGCTAAGGACCCAACAAGATGCCTGTTAGGCTGGCACAGGAACCTGACACACCTGGGAATCTGGATTTCTCTAGGTTCCAGTAGGTATACTCTCCCCCAGTCTCTTACTCAGCCCAGATTTGCCCTGGCTCCTAGATTCTGGTTTCTATACCAGATACAGCGAGTTTGCCCTGGTGACTATGTCCAACTTTTTCAAGGAGTAAATGTTACCCAAAGAATCCAACCCACATAAATAAGATTATTTTCTCTACCAAGCAAACCAGTAACAACATTAACTAAGATGGGACTAGTCAAAATCCAGTCTTTGAGAATCATTCCTTTCCTTAAACACCTTTAACCGTTAATAGAATTCTTAGTTCTCTTCATCCTCAAACAATATATTAAAACATTAATAGAACTCTAAACAATAGGGATGGTAAGTATTTTATTTAGTTTTCTTTATCACTCACTCTCATTCATGCAGGATAAATAAAGGATTTTGGCTTTCTGTATGGCTTCGGTGTCCCGTCTTCTACTGATTGATTTCTCCAAAAGTGCTGGGAAGGTTAAGAAAGGATTCATTAGTATCCACCCACATGTGGTCCCAAGTTGGAAGTCATTTGATAATCACAATTCCAACCTCCACAAAATTAAACATAAAGACAGACAACCCTGGAAAGGACAGAGATATGCAGACAGCAGAACAGATTCCAAGTTGTTTGAGGTTCAAATTAAAACAATTTTACATTCTCTTATCCGGCACTCTTAAAAGAAACCAAAAGGTCAATTTCAAGCTGAGATTGGCTCTTCTACAGGGGTTAATTTCTTCTGCCACCTACACAAAAGGAACAGAATTCATTTATTCAAGAATCAAAAATAACTGAATTCTGTTCCTTGTTCCTGAACCAAGTAATAGTCTCAACGGAGCCAATTTCATCACAGTTGTGTTTAAGATTTCACCATAGCCCAGCCCCTCAGGGAGGTCACCTGGAAGAAATTCCCCATTAGAAGTTTTATCAAATGTTGAATTAACATGTTGTGGACATGGAAGAAGTTCTTTAGACAGGAAATGGAGAGACGAGGTTGGAAAACCTACCCGAATTGCCTGAAAACTTGCCCATTTATATATGCATGGTCCTAAACATCTAAATGAGTCATGTGCATAAAATGGTTGCCAATATAGACATAGGCCCACCTGGAAAATAATTTTCTATTTATAAAATCACTAATAATAACATTTGAAGGCAGAAAATGATAGTTGTCACTATTTCATTAAATAAGGAAAGAAGAAAGCCAGGTCTCAGTGAAAACAACCCTCTCTCGTAAAAGAGAACCTTGAATGTACTTGAGAGTATCAATCTACCAGCATGAAGCCAAGATGAAAAATCCCTATGGTGACTGCAGCACCAGGGCACCGCCTTCACCAAACTATGTCAAACTGCTCTTGTCAAGGCATTTGGGGAAACAGCCTCACAACCATCATAATCACAATATAACAGATGTTCCTATAACACTCTGAATAGCTTCAAGACAAAGTGATTAAATTAATAAATAATTATATATCCCCTGAGGAGGAATCTACTTCTAAACTAGAAATTCTACAGTTCAAGAAAAAAAAAAAAAAACGCAACCCAGAGCTCCAGTCTAGTTTTTAAAAAATAAGCACCTGTAGCTAAAATGAGTTTGTATAACTAGAAAGATTCCAGTGAAATAAGTTAGGTTGGATGTATTTTCAATTATTTCACACTGTTTGGTGTTTCTTTCTTGTGTATCATCATCATAATAAAATCAAGATAACTAGCCCCAAGGTTTTTTTTTTTTTTTTTTTTTTTTTTGAGACAGAGTATTGCTGTCAACTGATTGCCAGTAACTCTGTCACCAAGGCTGGAGTGCAGTGGTGCAATCTCTCACTGCAGCCTCCGCCTCCTGGATTCAAGCAATTCTCCAGCCTCAGCCTCCCGAGTAGCTGAGATTACAGTCACCTACCATCATACCTGGCTGGTTTTTGCAGTTTTAGTAAAGACAGGGTTTCACCATATTGGCCAGGCTGGTCTCAAACTCCTGACCTCAGGTGATTCGCTCAGGTTGGCCTCCCAAAGCGCTGAGATTGCAGGCATAAGACCCCGGCCAGGTCCCCAAGGATTTTTTTTAAAGATTTTTTTAAATAGAAAGCTCTAAAGCCATATCCACACATATTTCCATTCAAATTGGCTCCTGTGCCCTTATGCCATATTGCTAACACAGTCATTAGACTGTTTCGAAAACATACTTAGAAGTAAATAATCCAAATTTCATTTAGGGTCATGATGATGTTCTGATGCTATAAACACTACACACACAGGCTACAAAACATGAATACCCTGAGGACCAAACAAGCCACAAGAGCAAAACGAACTAAAAGCATTAAATATTTACCTGTGTGTGCTCCCAAGGCATGCTATCTATCACAAGGAGGGAAAAGAGAACCAGCATATGCTAAATAGCGCAATCCCAAAACACTAACCATGCACAAATATCAATAATTCATATAAAATCAGTAATTGCCCGAATTCTGGTTTCTGTACCAGAATTTTGCTTTTAAAACAGATTCAGCTATCGCAGGTTCCTTGTCATTCCCTTTTCCTTCTCTCCGAGCCCAAGCAGACAGGAGAGCATTGATATGCAGACAGTGATGTGGCAATCAGTTGACAGCATCCATTTTATGTATCTCTGCATGTGAATTAGCAGTAAGAGGAATGAAATGTAGTCTGGAGAGTTATTAATGAGTAGAAAACAAAGCCTGCCTATCACAGGTAATTACTCAGATTATTAAAATGTCCCCAAAGCGTTGAAAAGGGCTCATGGGTCACCCATACAGGGGCATTCCAATTACAGCCTGTGTTGTTTCTTGGAGGATTTCTCAATCTCCACCCCCACCCCTTCCAGGTATTTCTTACCACCTTACAACCAAAAAGGACAACTACAGTTCAAAAAAACCTATAGCAGGCCGGGTGCAGTGGCTAACGCCTATAATCCCAGCACTTTGGGAAGCTGAAGCAGGCAGATCATAAGGTCAGAAGTTCAAGACCAGCCTGGCCAATATGGTGAAACCCCGGCTCTACCAGTAATACAAAAATTAAACAGGTGTGGTGGCAAGTGCCTGTAGTCTCAGCTACTCGGGAGGCTGAGGCAAAAGGATTGCTTGAACCTGGGAGGCAGAGGTTGCAGTGAGCCAAGATCACACCACTGCACTCCAGCCTGGGCGACAGAGTGAGACTCTGTCCAAAAAAAAGAGAAACCCTTAGCACAGCAGACCTCCAACTTTAAAATTGGCTTGAGAAGTCCTTCTGATGATCAAATTTGAACATTAAGTATATGTTAACTATTTTTCTTCTCACTATGCTCCATCAAATTGGTTTTTGTTTGTTTTTAAAGGCAACATAATAGACATGTGGGAGGGGGTGCATTAGAATCAAATAGACATGGGTTCCAGTTGCAGCTTGCTGCAACTTGCTAGCTGGAATTCCAACAATTTATTTAATCTCTCTAAGCCCCAGTTTCTTTATCTATAAAGTCAGATAATAATAGTACATGTCTCCCAGGACTGTGCTGAGGATTTAAAATTTTTAATGCACAGAAAGCCCCCTATCTCAGTGCCTGGGCACATGATAAGGGGGATAAGTGGTAACTTAAACAGGATTACAGGCGGAATTAGCCATACACAAAATTGTCAAGTAATCAAGCTTGTTTCTAGTGCTTCCTCCATAACTGCTTTTGTTCTCCTGCTTGCTTCTCAGGATATTGGTGGCCAAAGGACTTATGCTAACCCAAGATACTGCCAGGCTGTGCGTAGGACGATTTCACAAACTGGACCTGCTCTAGCCACCTTGCAAAGCCTCATGCTCTCAACACTTCCTCTGCTTCTATAGTAGAGGCAATTCTGAATGGGGAGACCTATTTTGCAATCCGTGTTAACCTCCAAAAATATTTTGCTCACATTCTTCATCCTGGACAACAAAGCACTTTCTTTTTTGTATAAATTTTTTCAATGAAAGTACAGAAAAGTATACAAATACAACATATAGAAAAGTACACAGATCATAATTTAAAGAATGTTCACAAAGTTAACACACTCAAGTAACCAACATTATTACTGGAACCTCAGAAACCCCTGGTGCTCCCTTCCAATCACTATCCCAACCAAGAAAACTACCATACTCTATGGTATAATACTTATTCAAGTCTATGTCACATATTTATAGAGTAATCTACCTTTTTGTTACTGATTTGTAGAAGCGCTTTCTATATTCTACATACAAGTCCTTTTTGAATATATTATGAAATATCCCCTATTACATAGACTTTATTCTTAATGGCATCTTGTAATGAACTGAAATTATTTACCCCAGTTTGTCCATTTTTCTCCTCCATGGTTACCATATTTACATCTTGTTCAAGAAATCTTTGCCTAACCCAAACTTATGAAGATAGTCTACAATTTTTTTTTTTTGGCTTTTTTTTTTGACATGGAGTCTTGCTCTCTCTCCCAGGCTGGATGGAGTGCAGTAGCGCGATCTTGGCTCACTGCAATCTCCACCTCGCAGGTTCATGTGATTCTCCTGCCTCAGCCTCCCGAGTAGCTGGGATTATAGACACATGCCACCATGCCCAGCTAATTTGTTTGTATTTTTAGTAGAGATGGAGTTTCACCATGTTGGCCAGGCTAGTCTTGAACTCCTGACCTCAAGTGATCCGCCCGCCTCAGCCTCCCAAAGTGCTAGGATTACAGGTGTGAGCCACCATGCCCGCCCTGTATTTTTAGTAGAGACAGGGTTTCAACATGTTGGTTAGGCTGGTCTCAAACTCCTGACCTCAGGGGATCCACCTGCCTTTGCCTCTCAAAGTGCAGGGATTACAGGCATGAGCCACTGTGGCTGGCGATAGTCTACATTTTCTTCTAAAATATTTATTGTTCCATATTTAGATCTACAGTCCATCTAAAATTTGGTTTTGGCCACGGTGTGGCCACACCTTAGTAACACAAGCCTAGCCTCAAAGGGGATGAATCATGTGAGAATTTTAATAATAAAGATATTTTTTGTCATTTGGCCTCAAAAAATATCACCAAGAAATACTTTTGGTATAAAACACTGGCATTAACAATAGCTATACTCCATTAGATTGAGTGCTCTTTTGGGCAGGGACTAGGTCACATTCATCTTTGAACACCCAGGACCCAGAGCTTGGCATGGCTGGTGCTTAGTGAATGTTTGCCAAGTTGAATTCCTGACAAAGAAAGTCTGAGAGAAACTTTCACCCAATTGAAAAATATGAGAAACTGGACTGACTACTTTTATTATTTCTTTTTACAGTCAGCAATGCCCTGATCATACTAACAACATAATCTCTTTTTTTCACATCTCAGTTCCTATATCATACAATGAAATCTAAGACTTCATTCATTTGTTTTCATGAATGCCAGTTTTAAGGATATCTAAGTTTTATTTTTACCAATTGTCTCAGCTATATCATCCATTTCCAAAGCCCTGCTCTTCTATACTGGGGAGAAAAAAAAACT